CCAATGCAGGACAGGAGAGAAAGTCAGCAGCCAGTGTTCTCACCGCTCTGTGGATTCAGGGTCCGGCTCAGGTCATCAGATGTGACAGCAAGAGCTCTTAACCACTGAGCCATCTCTGGTTTGGTTTGTTTGTTTGTTTTCTTTCTTTTTTCATTTTCTTTTTTTCTCTGTTGTTGGGGTGTTTGTTGTTGTTGTTTGTTTGTCTTTTGAGACAGGGTTTCTCTGTGTGGCTTTGGAGCCTGTTTTGGAATTTAATCTGTAGACCAGGCTGGCCTCAAACTCAACAGAGACCCGCCTGCCTCTGCCTCCCGAGTGCTGGGATTAAAGGCATGTGCCACCACTGCCTGGCTTGGCAAAACACTCTTACATACAGAATAAAATTAAGCCAGGCTTGGAGAGATGGCTCAGAGGTTAAGAGCACAGGCTGCTCTTCCAGGGGTCCTGGGTTCAATTCCCAGCAACCACATGGTGGGTCACAACCATCTATAATGAGATCTGGTGCCCTCTTCTGGCCTGCAGGCATAAATCTTAAAAAAAAAATAATAATAAAGGCTCACTGGGCGGTGGTGGTGCATGCCTTTAGTCCCAGCACTCAGGAGGCAGAGGCAGGCGGATCTCTGTGAGTTCGAGGCCAGCCTGGTCTACTGTGCAAGTTCCAGGACAGGCTCCAAAGCTACAGAAAAATTGTCATGAAAAACAGGAAAAGAGCTCAAGACCAGCCTGGGTTACATGAGACCCTGTCTCAAACAAAACAAATTGCAAGGGCCTGTCCTGCAGCACCTATTGTGGTGGCTGTTGTCAAAGTGTCAAAAGATAATCAGCCTATGGAGAGAAATTTGAAGCCTCCCGTGCCATCGCTGGGAATGTAAGATGGCATAGCTACTATGGAAAACAGTCTGGAGTTCTTTAAAGAGAATTAAAAATAGAATTGCCATATGATCCAGCAATCTCATTTCTGGGAATGTATCCAAAAGTATTAAAATCAGGATCTTGAAGAAGATATTTACACTCCTGTGTTCACTGCAGTAAGCCACAGTGGCCAAGACATAGAAATCTCAGGCACCCTATTGTATACCTGCCACCCAGCACTTGGGAAGTAGAGACTGAGGGCCACAAGTTCAAGGTCATCATCCAATAAATGGATAGTTTGATACCAAAGCTAACATATGACCCTGTCTCAAAAACAAACAAATAAAACCCCCAAACTCCTTGACATGGGATATCCTTCTGAACCCTGCGAATATGTGTTGCTATTACTGGTTGATGAATAAAGCTGCTTTGGCCTATGGTGGGGCAGAATACAGCGAGGCAGGAAATCTAAGCAGGATACAGGGAGAAAGAAGGTGGGATTGAGAGAAGATGACAGCCAGCCGCCGAGGAAGCCAGACATGTAGAAAATGCGGTAACAAGCCACGAACCATGTGGCAAAGCATAGATAAGGAATATGGGTTGGGCTGGAGAGGTGGCTCAGCCATTAAGAGCACTGACTGTTCTTCCAGAGGTCCTGAGTTCAACTCCCAGCAAACACATGGTAGCTCACAACCACCTTGAATGAGATCTTCATTCAAGAGTGCCCTCTTCTGGCCTGCAGGCAGAAGACTGTATTCATAATAAATAAATAAAATCGTAAACAAAGAAATATGGGTTAATTTAAATGTAAGAGGTAGCTAGTAAAAAGCCTGAGCCATCGGCCAAACAGTTCATGATTAATATTAAGCCTCTGAGTGATGATTTTAAAAGTGGCTACAGGACTGGCTGGTGGTAGAGAAACGTCCATCTACAACCCCTTCTAAATATTTGTCAGTGCACCGGTGAGTAGACAAATGTGTACACACTCACACACACACACACACACACACACACACACACACACACACACAC